CGATGAACGTTTACTTTAGTAGTATACATCACAATTTCTTATATTTACATCACAATCAACAAACATTATACATAACTCGGCAATTTAGAGTAGTTGGTAAATAAATTGTTAATACTACTATAAGCTCAGAGAAACATCTGGTATCCCCACTATTATTGTGGGACTAATCGCAATTTAGCTTGAGTCATACTTGTAGAGTTTATATGAGACTAATTCCGATTTGGCTTGGATCATACTTGATTTCTTTAAGGTTAGAGATGACTAGTTCTGATTTGATTTGAGTCGCACTCATAGAGTTTAAGTTTGACTTCCCATATTTCTTTAACATCCTGATTCTTCTCCCAAAAGGCTGGATTTCCAATCCCGGTCTGACAGAGTATTTGGGAGGATGTAAATCATGGTGACTCACTGGCGCAGTTGTAGTAGGCAGGGCCAAATACCGGTGCGCACAAAGATCTGCTTACTTTGGGCATAATCACCACATTGACGCTGTCGAGGTTTTAACCTTGATTTCTTCTTCCAAATACTACTTACTGAACCAGTGAGCTAAACCCGTGCGAACCTTATTGGTTGCATTTGTAGTTATCATCTATCCCAAACTATCAAGTCACTGACTCACTGCACATCATATTATACAACTTTGTAATTACTTTACAGATTACACTAATGAAGTAGGTGTGGAGGATTAGCAACTAAATTTGTACTTTATCATCCTAAATTAACCCTTCAACCAAAAGAGTTGCAATAACATAATGAGTCAAAGTAAAAGCACCCAAAAAAAAATCTTTTAGTGAAATATTTTCAAGAAAAAGAGAGGCAATAAGCCTGTCGAAATTGACTTGAGACACACAGATCAAAATGTAATTCATGACAAATGTAGACTGAGAAGTGACTCTCCTAGATTACATGCTACTCAAAAGCTAGGCTTCCAAATCTACCTAGGATGATTATGGTTCCAACTAGAGTACCATGTTCAAAGAAAAAGGCAAATTTTCTAATTAAAAAAAAAAGAAGATGGGTATGACAGAAATGATACAAGTGGTCCTAAGGATCCCAGTGCAAGACATAAAACCTTATAAAATTAGCACCCCCCATTCAATTGTCAATTATTATGTGCAGCCTTACATAATACTTACCTCATATGGGGTTTGAGACCACATCATGAACTTATACTCAATCTGCATTTGAATATGTTTGTTTCATTTTTTCACATAAATAACTATGAATTTTATGTGTTTTTCATCATTCTCCTTTGTCTCTTTGCACTCATCATCATATCCTGCCCACCCATTTTACTATATAGTGTTTTAACTTAATTCTTTTTTTTTTTTTAATAAATATATTAAAGTATAATATATTATGCATTCAAATTAATTTACTAGTAGCTATCATTTTGATCACTGTCATTTTTCCATCCATACCTACATCACTACAGTTAGTGGTCATTATTATTACCCTTCAAAACGCATGAAATTAAACTAATTTATTATGTCATTTTTTCTTATCGTCCCTACAAAGTGAATTTATCTCATCCTAACAAAACTCAGCGACATAAAAAATCACTTTACAAACAATTGAGGAATGAAAAGTGTTGCGCTAATCCTTATAATTTAATGATTGAATTGCAATTTTCCCCTATATATGTGTGTAAAAGCTCTAATTATTAAGATTATTTTTTTTTGTGATAAGAAAAATACACAGTCACTATTCCGCTTCTATAAGAATCAAATTCCAGACTACTCAATCACCATTTTTAGGGCAGAATTTAATTTCTCCTTTTAATTTCAAGTAAGATTGATACTAAGCAAAAGGAAAAAAGAGGTTGCATATTATATAAGGAGTATTATATTGTTGACCTTTTAATTAGATTTGCATTAATGGTTGATCTGCATGTGATCATATCACTCAAAACTTTTTTCCCTTTTTTGTTTTTCTATGTCCATATCACTTAGCGTGGTAAAATTAATTGTACTTAATCTATTGGAGATTTTTTTTTTTTTTTAAAAAAATGTTGAAATTGCAGTGAGAATGATTAGAAATGGATGACAATAATCACATGGGGATCTCACTGTTGTTCATGATATGGGATCCCAAGTATGATGTTTAGTTGGTGTGGTACAACAAGAATCATAGAATAAATATGTTCCAAAATTTTATGAAATCAATCTCTTTAAAATTGAGAGCTTTGGGCATCATCAATAACACTCTTTCAAGGTTAACAAAAAGTACCAATTCACCACATATTTACCCTACAATTTCTAGAATATATATTTATATCCTATAACGCATGTGTACTCAGCTCGGTGAAGTTATATTATATATTTAGGGAAAAGGGTCAAATAGGTCATCGAACTTTAACTTAAAAGTCAATTAGGCCTCTAAACTTTTTAAATGTGCAATTACACCCATTAACAATTCATTTAAGTGCAATGAAGCCCAAAAACAAATTAATGACCTGCTATCGCAGGTCATTACGGTTCAGGCCACCTTCCGGCGAATTTTTCGACAAAAAAGAAAAAGTGATCGGCGAAATTTTTGACAAAAGAAGTGACCGGCGAAATTTTCAGCAAATCTGAGTCGGTTGCTGGTCACCTTTTTTATGTCGGAAAATTCGCCGGAAGGTGGCCTGAACCCTAATGACCTGTGATAGCAGGTCATTAACTTATTTTTGGGCTTCATTGAACCTAAATGAATTGTTGATGGGTGTAATTGAACCTTTAAAAAGTTTAGGGGCCTAATTGACTTTTAAGCTAAAGTTCGATGGCCTATTTGACGCTTTTCCCATATATTTATAAAAAGGGTATAGTATAACTTAACTCTCGCATAACAAGGGTCTAGGTGTTCTTGACGACCCTCCTAGAAACCTCCTTAGGTGTGAAGCTGAGACTGATAATGTCTAATAGTCGAGTTTTGCTTTTGACCCCTCCCCCCTCCCCACCCCCACCCCCACCCCCCACACCTTCTCAGGTGTTTAATGGCCATCAACTCGATCTTGCATGTAGGGGTGTGAGGCTCCTAACAACCCTTCTGGACACCTTCTTAGAATTTTGGGTGAGCTGAGGAGACTGATGATGTTTAATAGTCCAATTTTACTTTTGATATGAAGAGATTAGACGATTTTTCTGTCGATTGGATGTTTTCCCCTTTCTAGATACACAAAAAGAAAAAAGAAAAAAAAAAGGTAAACTATAACTTTATCAAATACAAAATAATACATATATGATATTGTAAAACTTTTTATATTTTACTGTAGTTGCGGGCACCTTGATTAGAGATTAAAATATGAAGGGTGGTGGGATGTGAAAAGGATAAGTTGTGGTAAAAATGGATGGGAGGAGCAGAAATTATGGAAGAGGAGACAGTGGGAATTGAGGTGTAGAGGTGTCACAACTTTTAGCAGTAGAAATCATTGTTGTAAAGGCCATTGAGAGAGAGAGAGAGGGGTAAGTTGGGAAAAAAGAATTAAAAGTAAGATTATTGGTAGATAGATGATGGGAAGATGAGAAGCATTTCTATGGACTACAAATCATATTGTTTGCCATATAAGTAGACTATCTCAAAGACTCTTTCATTATTATTCATTCCTATCACTACCTTCAAACTCAAATAATTACATTTCCATCCTCTTAACATTTTGTTATTCATGCTACCTAAACCATTTGATCGAATTTATTGTTGGATTATATTAATATATGTAATTTTCTATAATGGGTACCCGTGTCAATAGTATTGAGTGCAACTATATATAGTATATTTTATTGAACTGGTTAGATGCTATACTGCTATTCATATTGATGTTGGTAGTATCCAATAGAACAAAACATAGTATGCGTAGCAAATTTCACAATCAAATACTCCGTAGTAATTGTGGGTTTCCATTGTCATCTAACAAAAAACATAGCATACGTGGTTTTGTATAATAGTATTAACATCGCCGTTAATCAATATAGTAAATTTTTTTTAATAATGATATATGTTTTTACAGGAATATATTCAAATAAATAAATGAATACTAATGGGCGGGTCTGATTATTTTCATTAACCTTTTTTAGATAATGACATTTTTTTAGAATATTAAATTAATTAAATAAGTGAAGTTTATTCTTTAAATATCACTTATCAAAATGTTAAAGGGATAAATTCATAAAGCAATATAAAAGTATCGTCGGGTAGTTTAAATAGTTATCCAATCAAAGTTTAATCTTGTTTTCAGCTAGTGCTGTCAAAACGAGTTTTGCTTGCCGGCCCGCTACACCCTCATGCATGGGTTGGTTTCGAAAATATATGCCCGCCAAAGAGTGAAATTTTTTGGCCCGCCAACCAACCAAAGTTCACACACACACACATTACTTATGTAACAAATCATTTTAATTATTTTTATAGTATATAAATTGTAAAACTTAACTACGCAACAAATCAACAACTTAATAACAAGAAAAAAAAGTGGCAGGGGCCCGCCTAGCTTGCTGGCCGAGTCGGGCCAACAAAAGATAGACCCGCCAAAAGAGTGAGCTTTTTTGGCTCGGCCCGAAAAGGTGACTCGTTTTGACAACTCTATTTGCAGCGAGAGCGTGCATGAATCATTGGGAAATTTTGACCAATTAGGAATGGTGAAGACCTTATGCTAGAAGCCTAGAAGTATACAAACGGTAGAAGAACTTGTAATCACTTGAACAACACAGAATTTACCTCCTTCATGAGTTTTGAAACGAATTCACAGAGGTACATGACATAGTTGGGCAAAGTCAGAAAATAAAACAAAAAGTAGGGGCAAAATGGTCCGTCGGCCTAGAGTTCTAACCACCAACCGCCGCAATGGTGAAAGAGTAAATTGGAGAAGGAAGAAGGGTGAAACGGTAATAAGGCATGTAAATCCAAAATCAAACAAACAGGGAGCCGCAGTGCGCATCCAGCGTGACAAAGAAGAAGAAAATACAGCGCGACAAAAAGCGGTGCTCTTATATAAACCCCAACAAAGCTTCAAACTTGTAACCCATCGTCTTCTTCCTTTAAAGTTTTTCTTTTTCTCTCACAGTCAAAAAAACACTCTTTTTTCGGGTCTAGAACCAGAAAGCGGGAACAGTTTCGGGTCGCTGCACGCAGAGTATCGGAGGAAGTAATGGCGGCTGTCGGAGAGGTGGCTCAGAGGTCAGCTCCAAAGCGGCGGAGGTACTCTTCGCAGAAAGCATACTGCTGAGAAAGAGATAGAGAGAGAAGCCCTTTTATCGTAATTTGTTTTGATCACTGAAACAACTGTCTTTTTCAAGATTAGATTTTTATGAACTCTCTGGGTAGATTTCTCAATGTCGTTTGACATTCGATAAAGACACCTCGCCGCCCAGTAAACATCTCTTGGTTGTTAAGATTTGATCTAAAGCTTGGAGTTTGTCGATGATTATGGAGGGGTGCATGAAGGGGATTTCTGGGATTTACTCTTTGATCAACTTTTCCGGTTTTCTGAGTGTCTAATAGCGGTATTCGCAAAAAAAGATTGAGTCTTTTTGTTTTTGGGTGTTGGGGGTGTGGTTTCTTTAGCTATAGAGAAATGGGAAAGGGTGATGGTTTGTTACTACTTCTATCAACAGAGGGACCGCCGATAAAGCGGCGAGCAGGGTTGAGGAGGAAACAGGCCGGAAGAGGATCTTACAGAGGTAGTTAGGTTTAGAAAATCCAGGAGAATAGAGGGGGGAAACAAACAAAATTAGGGGTTTTAATAATAATTTCTGTTGTAATTTGACCCGATTTCAAATTTAGGGGACTGGATTCTTTGGGGGGTCTGGACTTGTTAGAATTTCTGCTCACATTATTATGGGATTCCTATTGCGCCAAGCACTCAGGACCCTCTGCTCCAACACTCTCTGGAACTATGCTGTTTTCTGGAAACTCACCCATCGTTCAAGGATGTAAGTTTTTTTCTTTGTTTCATTTCTTTAAATTTGTTTCCTTTGAGGAATTTAACAAAAAATAAATGGATTAGGAGAGTCAAATGAATATAGGGACTACCCAAAAAAAAATGCAAAGAACATCTTAGTATCTTGAATTCTTGATTAAGTTTGGCCAGTAGAAGGAGCATCATAGAAAGCATAAATGTCAAATTAGACAAGGATATTTTTAGTATTACTAGCAACGTCAAAGGTATCGTGTTTGAGATAACGATATCTTGGTGAAATACAGATGATAGTGGGATCGAGTCCATAAAGACAGCTCGAATTTGGGGGCAGATATGTATCGGCCTATACTATGAACCATGAATATATGCGTGTGTGCTGATTCCTAGTTGGCTAAAGTGGATTTGTTCGTTAAAGACATTATTCCATGCTGTTCTTCTTTCACTTTGTGCAATAGAGTCGTGGACAGTTAGAAAAATTGTTCTCTTATGATTTTGTCTCCATATTTTGAGTTCACTTTATTATTATTATTATTTGATGTTATTGGTTTTGTGCAGGATGCTGATATGGGAGGATGCCTATTATGGTAATAACGAGCACCACGAGAAGAAATTGTTCAGTAATTCAGCGGGCAACTTGCTCGATGGGCATTGTTCACATGATGCTCTCGGTTTAGCTGTGGCTAAGATGTCATATCATGTATATTCTCTAGGGGAAGGGTATGATGATACGTAAAATATGATTATTTTTGTTCATAATTTTTTGATAAAGTGGATATAGTATAGTTTTTTGCTACTCCATATTTATAATTTCTCGGACCTTGTACATTCAACAGTAACATAGTTCACGTGTGTTTTTTGTTTGAGAAGAAGTGCTTGAACGGTAGGGATTGAATTCTGTCATGAGAAATTTTACCAAAGCTATCGCTTTAAACACTTGTTAAGTTAGGTTTAGAATTTCAGATCTCCAACTGCAAATTCAAAGTAATTAACGAAGTTATGATTGTGAACTACAGAGTAATTTTTACTACAGTTCTATGATTTTGTCACACTTGAAACTTTGGTCGTAATTTCTGAACTAAATAAATATTAGACATTTTGTATCTCATAGTTTTCATTTGGACAGGATTGTCGGGCAGGTGGCTGTTACTGGTAAACATTTGTGGATTTCTGCTGATAAATGGGTAACAAACCCCAGCTCCTCATTTGAGGTGAGACACTCGTTTCTGTGAGCCAGTATGATATGATATTCGTTTCTCTCGACTGCTCTTAAAATGTGTCTTAGTTTTCATTCTTGCTTTAATCTCGATTGTTTCCAGTACTGTGATGGATGGCAAACTCAGTTTTCGGCTGGAGTTAAGGTAATGACCTTTTTTTTTTTTTTTTTTTTTTTTTTTTTTCTTTCACTATTGTTCCTTTTATCACATCAAAATTAAGCCATTGATTGAAAAAATAAGCGATAATATATGGGTTTATAAGACCATGGGTTAGACTAGCTAATTGGTTGGATTCAATCTTTTAGTGTGGTTTGGCCCATGTGTATTATAGCCCAGTTGAGTGATCCTAGCCCAATCTTAGTTTATAACATGGTATCAGAGCCTGTTCGGTCCACTTTGGTTGGATTCAATCTGCATTATAGCCCACTTGAGTGATCCTAGTCCAATCTTAATTTATAACACCAGGTGAATTACACATCCATATTTCAATATTGTACCACATGCAATTGAGATTCTTGGTTTTGTTTAACGTCTTGAAAGTGTTATGGAGGATAGATAGCCTCGGGTTTTTAGATTTGTGTTCGGTTTATTGGTTAAAGAGATACAATTTGTATCGTAGTGAAGATACATTAATGACATGCATATCTTTTGTCATTACAGACCATTGTTGTTGTGGCGGTTGCTCCTCTAGGAGTTGTACAGCTTGGATCTTTGGATGACGTAAGTCATCGTTTACTAAGAGATATCCGAAGAGCATAACTATGAATGTTCGGTTTTTGAGTGCCGTGTATTTTATTTTATTTTTTTGATTAGATTCCCGAGGATCTGAAGATGGTCAAACACATTAGGGATGTTTTCTCGGAGGTCCATGATTCTGTAGCTGGTCACTTGCAGGGTGCAATGCAGAATAATGCGGAGACTTCTTGTGTGGTAAAATATTCTCCCTATACCGAAATATAGTGCTTTTACGAAATCTTTATTCGTTTATCTGACACTGATTATCTTTTTCCAGTCAGATGTGTCCACTAGAACCTCCGGTTCGGAGGTTTATCTCGATTGCACAAATAATCTAGATAGAAGTATTGAAGACGGGACGAATTTCTGCTCTTCTAAATACGTGTTTCTTGGACAAGGAAAGCACGGCCATTGTTCTCCTATGGTTTCTCGTCCTTCAACTTACCCGAATAAAATACACGAAGTGCCTAATAAGCATGAAGGTCCCGGGCCTCCAATACCGAGTTGTGAAAGTTTTTTCGATGGGCCCGAAGCTATTGCTTTGATGAGTGAAGTGCAAACGAGCAAACTAAGGGACTCGGTAGAAGATAAAAGTAAATCTTATAAGAACAAAATTGCTTCGTGTGATGCTGTACAGGCTCTTGATTATTCGGGTATGGATATACCGTACCCCCCTTCAGAATTTCTCGTTTCTGCAGCAGATAACGATCAGAACGGGGCGTTTTCCTTGCCCGTTCTTCCCAATTCTGGGTTACATAAAGATTCCGAGAATAACTCATTCCAGTCCAGTGATATGAACGTGATTCAGACTCCTTTAAGTTTCTATGCTGGCTATGAGCTATACGAGGTGTTAGGGCCTGCTTTTCAAAAGGGTAGCGGTCGTAATCTTTGGGAAACCGAGAAAACCGAAACGGGAATGGCCGTTGAGATGCCCGAGGTAATGGGTGATAGCAGTCTGTTAATGAGTGACAGTAGGACCGAACATCTTTTGGAAGCGGTGATAGCCAACGTTAATTGCCACGAGAGTGACGCTAACAGTGTGAAGTCTTTCTGTAAATCCGTTGAATCCTTTGTGACCACCGAAAAGACGGAGCCTTGCACTAGTGATGTGGGCACGATCAGTTCGGCGGGTTACTCGTTCGACCGTGATACACTGAACAGCTTCAACTCTTCGGGGGCGTGTGGAGTTAGATCTTCAATAGGCCTTTCTTCGACCAGTTCTAGTAGAGGCAGCGGGCATATGGAAAGACCACAAGAACCGGTGAGAATGAATAAACGGAGGGCAAAACCTGGTGAAAGTAGTCGACCCAGGCCCCGGGACCGACAGCTGATTCAAGATCGCATCAAGGAGTTGCGAGACCTCGTGCCTAATGGTTCAAAGGTAACTTTCACATTCTTGTTTTCCACCTCCCCAAAACGCTCTACGGGAATGGTTTCTGAAATATTTGGATAATAATTCAGTGCAGTATTGATTCACTTCTGGAGCGCACAATCAAGCACATGCTTTTTATGCAAAGTATCACAAAGCATGCCGAGATGCTAAATAAATGCACTTCATCAAAGGTAAGCCATGCTATTTTGTATACACCGTTACTTATTTCTATGGTTGCAGTAGGTGCTAGGTGCTAGTCAGGCGATAGAGTAGTGCCTAGCGTCTCGACAGCCTAGGCGGTGCCTATGCGGCTTACTAAAGAAAATGAAAGCAGTGCACGTGTGTGGGTGTATATGTCATTATACACACACACACACACACACACACACATATATATATATATATATATATATATATATATATATATATATATATATATATATATATATATATATATATATATATATATATATATATATATATATATATATATATATAATGAAAAAAAATTAGCAAGGCCGAGCTGACTGGGTTAACTCGGCTAACTCGATCGAAATGGACGAGTTAACTCGGCCGAATTCGGTCGAGTTAGGTGCTTGGCGGGCACCTATAGGGGAAATCGCCACGGTCTAGGGGCGCCTAGACTGATTTTTGCAACAGTGTTGTTATTTCTAAGCTCCAATTAACCACGGTAACTTTGATGTTAGTCGCAAATTTTTAACGAAAATACATGGCGTCTTTAATTGCAGTGGCTCGACAAGGAACCAGGAACTCAAGGGCCTTCCTCCAACGAGCAAGGTTCAAGCTGGGCGGTGGAAGTGGGGAGTAACATGAAAGTATGCCCTATAATCGTAGAAAACCTGAACATGAATGGTCAAATGCTAGTCGAGGTATGGATAAGCAGGCTAGCTATTTTACCGACATGGCTCTTTTTACCATCGGTTTACTTATTTCATCGTGAATACAGATGTTATTAAAAGACTGCAGCCATTTTCTCGAGATAGCAGAAGCCATCAGGAGCTTGGGTCTCACCATACTGAAAGGCGTAGCAGAAGGGTATGGCGAGAAGACCCGGATGTGCTTCGTGGTTGAGGTACGTACAATTCTTATACGTCGTAAATGGCTAACTATATCTTGTCCTACAGACAATAATCGTGTTTGTTTGCGTTTAATCCAAAAAACTCGGAACTTATTTCTCCAGGGACAGAATAACCAACCCATGCATCGCATGGATATACTGTGGTCGCTTATGCAGCTACTGCCACCCGAGATTAATGCGTGATATGATGCAGCTAACCAGACCGGACCGGGGGCGCTGTATCTCAGTTCATAGATTTGCTCGATCAGCTCGTGTGTGAAGATGATTTCTTTTTCCGTGTTTTGCAATTGTAATTCTCTCTTTAAATTGAATTATTTGTTGAGTGCTATAGCTATACCAATGAACACTGTTTGAAACCTTTCTATTCCTGGATTGGATGTGGTTTTCTTTGTCTGTTCTGTACAATGATGTTTTGTGCTACATCGGTTTTGACTTCGCAAGACATTGTAAAGTAGTGTTTAAACTCGAGAAATTCTTCTACATATTGAACTAGTTTTGGTGTTTTTGTTAAGAGGCCGTTGCTTATGGTGGTGGCCGGACTCCCTACCATTTCTCGTTAGAACACCGACTCCGATCCAGCATGAGGTTAGCACGTTGATGCTTTAATGATTCTGATTTTTTATATACATGAACTATCAAATGTAGGTATAGAATATGTCAGGTATAGAATATATCAACTATAGATACAGAACATGTAGTTGATCCAGATTCGTCTTGCAAGATCCCCAAATCTTATATATAATAAAGTTATATGGTCTTGTAAAAATTAAATGGTAATAATTAACATTTAATTTTCACAAGACCATAATAATATTGTTAATTATAATAACAATAACAATAATAATAATAATAATTGCAATAATAATAATGATAATAATTTCCATTGACAGTTTCTAATATATATATATATATATATATATATATATATATATATATATATATATATATATTATATTTATTTATATTTCAATTTCTACTTGCAAATTATTGTGTGAACGATGGTCCACATAATTGTATGGATCATGAATATCAAATACATTTTTAATATATTAAAAATATATTATTTTTATATTGAAAGTACCTTACATACATATATAATGTACCCTTAGTATATTTATAATATACTTTTTATTGCATGCAACCCCAAAGTTCATAAGTTTGAAATTAATATATGGCATAGCTAGGCGCCTAGGCGGCCTAATATTTAAGATTGTTGATGTACATATTGAGGACTACGGAGACAAAGATGTGTTATTCGTGGATTCATCGGATACTATCCAACAACACTCTCCAACTTAATTGACGTGAAATAGGCTTAGTAACATTAAGATTATATTCTTGAATTATTAGTTCTCAACTTTTATTGATTACACACTTAATTCGATAGTATTTGGAAGAAAAAAGCAATGTTCGAACTAAGATTGTGATTTTGGTCTTTAAAGGTCAATTGTATGTTGCTACATCTAGAGTTAGAAATCTCAAAGGTTTAAAAATTTTGATCCGTGGTGACTCTAAAATTGTAATTCAATTACTATTGCAGTTTACTAAGTTCTTAAAAATTTGTAATATTAAATACTATGTACTAAATTTTTAATATAGTTTAAGATTTGTAGTAATCACCCACCTTAAATATTATTTTAATTGTAAATATATTTATGTTCATAATTTTATCATAGGAATTTACTCATAATAATTATTAAATAACAAAAATTTTATATATGAATAAACCTCATATAGAGTATATTTTTATAACATATTTTCCGTGCATCGCATGGGACAAATACTAGTCTAAAATATATCAATATGTAGGTGTAATATAGAATATGTTGATTCTCCCAAAAACTCAACCGCTTTCTCTCCCATTTTCGGCTGCTCCCACGGAGTAAAGGCCCGGCGGCGCCATTAGTAGACTTATCCTCTGGCTGTTTTAGGATTAAGTGTTAGATCTCAGATCATCTCCGATTGTTTTACAGATAAGGCTTCAGAGGCTCGATCTGATAGGTTTTCTACCCTCTTTTCCATTTATGTTGTTTTCTTTTGGTTCTACGTTATCCCTTTGCTCCTTTAACTAGTTTGTTTTCCCTCGTCTCTCTGGCGAGTGTTTCCCCCTTGTTTCTTTGGCGAGTTTTCCTCTCATTTCTTTGGCAAGTTCTCATCATAAGCGTGGAATGATAAAATGGTCTCACCAGAGTCAGGCTTGGCTATGTTTGACCAGATCTGTGAAGAAGCACCGAGTTCATCGAACAACTTCAGCTTCAAGTTTGTAACGCAGTATGCGATCCAAGTTCTCGTTGACATTGCTAGGAAATTTGTTTATATGTCTGAATGTAACGAATGCATTGTCATTCTAACGATCTGTATTGTAAACATTCCTGCTTATGATTAATGAATTAGCCTTTTATTTTCAAAAAAAAAAAAAAAGAAAAAAAGAAGAAGAGGAGAATATGTTGATGCTTTAATGATTCGAATGTTAAGAATAAAATTTGTTGCTATCAACTATCAATTGATATATTTTAGATTTGGGGTTCATCTTGCAATACAAGTTTGGATCAACTACATGTTCTGCATCTATAGTTGACATATTCTATACTTACATTTGATAGTTTATGTACATGTAGCTATCATATTATGTGTCAACAATTATCAAGTTATTTTTTTTGTATGTATAGAAATTGTTAACGGAAGGTACATAATTTTTGTATCAAGCATCAATATCACAATGTAATATGAACCCTGGTCCGTGGTAGAACAATTGCTAATTTATTTGGGTGACAATGTAGGAAGCCTTAATCACCAATCATTATTGTATGGACCATGGTCTACACAAGTTGTGTGATCATATTTTGTCTACTGTAAAATAATGTACATTCAGTACAAAAATAATGTATATTTAATACAAAAATAATGTACATTGTATTCAGGGGATGCACATTATTTTTGTTCTGAGTGTATATTATATTATATAATATACATTCAATACAAAAATAATGTACATTTAGTATATAAAAAATGTACTTTTTGTTATGGTCCATGGTCACACAATAATTTGCCCACAAAATTGGACTGAAGTATTGGGCTCTATGTAGGCCTGCTCAATCTCTCAGTCCAATTTAACAGGAAATAAGATTCCCCGGACCACATTAATATTCACATCATTTGTTATATATGTGATATAATCTAAACTTTATCAGCCCTTTTCTTACGGAGCATATAATAAAAGTACAACTCTCCACGTATTGTATTTTATATTGGTTTTTGTTTTTTTAATACTTTTTTTAGTATCGTTGACAGTCAAACAAAAGATGATCTGCTTTTGTGTTTTTGTTTTATTTTTTTAACGTTGGAATATAATTTAAGATATGCTTCAAAAAGATTCATATCTTAACAAAGACAGGACAGTGCGCTGCAGACTGTTCCACACATGCACATTATAATGAATTATGAATTGAATTTAATGGAAAATACATAGCAAGAAATGAAATGTATTTGTGGGGCTTTACATGTTATACACAATATCAATTTTTTTGAAAGGAACACAATATCAATTTAATTATATATTATAATATAAGTCTCGGGTTCGGCTTGAAGAAGTATTCTACTTATTGAAATAGCAACTGGATCGGAGCAGTTGAAATATAGACTGATCTGAACTCTGAAGACTGTTGCATCTCGAGCTGAAGGTTTAACTGCCCGAGTAATACAATGATATCATCAAACCACAAACTAAGGTATTTGACAACAAAGATTAACTAAAACATCTGCAACGAAATTAACTTTTCCGTAACAAAAACAAATGGATAAAATTACTAATATGAGTCCAATCTTGATGGACAAACAACAAAAACATGCCCACATAATTTCTGTTAACCCTATAACCTAGTTTGAACTGTCATACCCCATGGTGTGTGTGTGTGTATACATGTAGGAGTTGAAGATCCTTATATTAAGGTTTGGACTTTGAATAACTGCCCCCTCTTCAAACTACACCTTAACGTAACAGAAAATGTTTTTGTGAATGTCAGAATTTAATATTTAATTAAAAAATTGATTTAATCAACTAATTTTCTCAATACTTAACATTTGAAAATGACCAAAGGATTCTTAATCTGTCCCTCAACCATCTGGCAATGTCATTATCGAAAAATGCCGATTCAAACGTCTTCGAATCAACGTTGTTTGCGTTATGGGCCTAATGGTTTTTTTTTTTTTCTTTTTAAATTAATTGAATATGCACCATCATTATACAGTGGACATTGTAGACTCTGGTCCAAATTATGTACATACAATTAACATATTATGTACATTTAGTTAAAAAAAATTATGTGCATTCATTTATAACTGAATATAGTGTCCAAATTATGTATATATACAATTAACATATTATGTGCAACCCCAATCAAGTTGGTTGGGCAGTTGGGTTAGTTTCAAGTTTGACTCTCTGTGCACGGGAGTTGTTTATTTATTGATATTCTTAGTTTAAGCCGGTTAACTAGTTAGCTAAAGACAACTTAGACTAATTTACTTTCTTATGGTTCTTTGTCCGCTAAGGTTACAAAGTAGTCATGGATAAACTAGCTAGATTGTTTTACCCCTTATGATCGTTCACCAGCTAGGGTTACAAGACAGTTATGGACAACCTAGGTTGGTTACTTGGTTTATTCTACCCCTTTTTTATTCTTTGTCAACTAAGATTACAAGAAAGATTTTACCCAAAACGGATTAACTGTATGTACATCATTTGAATTATGACATATAATAATGTGTATAGTGGACTTTGATTTACGATATATATAATTTGTGATGAAATAAGCAACAATATTAAAGGTAATGAGAAATAAAGAATTAGGGTTTGATAGATGGTTTGAAGACTAGATTGAGAGAATAATAGGTGATACATGGCAATCATCTAGACACGTGTGAAGGCCCCACGTGTGGGTTCTGTGGTCGGCTTGACTGGTCAGACTGTGGACACAAGTCTTCATCACTCTCCTGCTCTGTCTTTCTCTCCTCCATTGACATGTCTACCCTTTCCCTTTCCTTCTTCAATTCAAACACCTAGCACCAACTCACAGTAGTGTATATATTAATATATGTTCTTGGAAACATCTTGGCCCATAGCTTCTTCTATATTCAATATATCATCAATGAATATAATTTTTTTTGAATATGTTTTCTTTACATCTATCTACATTTAACTTTGTTTAGATTATTAATAATGTTTTATATATCTAATCATTTTGGTTAGCTGACCATACTTATTAAGATTCTAGAAATAACATAGTTATGTCATATGTCTCTTCTCAAATAGACTTTCTAGAAATAACATAGTCATGCATAATTGTCGTTTAAGAACATTGTCACACTGTCTGATTAGTCAACCAAAAAGCACCAGACTAGTCGAACTTTAAAGTGCTCTAATGACACCGTTCAACCAGTAATCTGACTTACTATTCATGTTTCTACATAGA